GGGCGGGGGCACCCCCTGCCCCTCAGGCCCTCCTCCCAGCCGGCGCGGAGGCCGCCCCTGCCCTCACCTGAAGATGAAGATGAAGAGCATGAGCAGCATGCAGAAGGTGGCCACGTTGTCCATGGTCTTCATGAGCACCACCAGCTGTCGCTGCAGCGCCGGCAGGAAGCGCACCAGCTTCAGCACCCGCATCAGGCGGAAGGTCCGCAGCACCGACAGGCCACCCCCCTGCTGGCCCACGATCTCCCACACGCTGCAAGGAGGGCGGGGAGCCTGAGCCCCTGCGGGCTCGCCCTCCCTCCACCCCTCCCTCTGAGAGGGCCTGGAAAAGCCGGCCCAGCGCCAGGGCGCGGGGCACAGGCGGGAGCCTCCGAAACGGGTGTAGGTGAGGGCTCCGGCCCTCTCCACGCCCTCCTCTCTCCAGGCCGGAGATCACCTCCTGGCAGCGGACAGCCCTCTCCCACATTCCGGCCCATGCAACAGCGTCAAGTTAGGGAATATTTGCTTTGTTCCCTTCTAATGAAATCTAAAGCTGGTTCCAAAAAGCAATAAGGCAGTTCTGGCCCCAGGCCTAGGGGGACGGAGCACTTTCCCAGGGTCTGGGAAACCCTAAAGCAAGTCGAGGGTGTCTGAGATGGTTTCCAAGCACTTTGCTGGCCGGGCTTCACACCCCCTTCAGCTCCTCTGCAAAGCCAGCTGCCCAGTCCTCATTCGCCCCGGGGCCCACATGGGCTCAAGGGCAAGAAGCAGAAGTGGGGAGAGGAGACTGCACAGCGGGTCACCCCCCCACTGGGGAAGCGGCAGGGCCTGCGTGGGTCAGTGGGGCCTGACTCCAGACCCCTCCACCCCAGAGGAACAGGCTGCTTGGCTTCTCGTCCAAGCCACCCCACGGGCATTCCTCAGGCGACAGGCAGTGGAGGGGCCGCCATACCTGATGACGACGATGACGCCATCGAAGATGTTGTAGGGGTTCTTGATGTAGCCAAAGGGACCGTACACGAGCAGCTTCAGCAGCATCTCCAGGGCAAAGAGGCTGGTGAAGACGATGTTGCTGATTTCCAGGGCGTTGGTGAGCTCCTCGGGCTGGAGGGCAGGGTGGGGTATGAAGCAGCCGAGGCTCACCCCTGAGCCCCTCACCCCTGCTGTCCCTAGTGGAGGCCACCGGCAGAGAAGCAGCAGGAATAGCAAGGTGGGGGGTAGGCGGGGCGGGGGGCGGGCAGTGGTGATGCTGGATGGACTCTCCAGAGGAGGGCTCACCCCCAAACAGCCCATGAGGAAATGCACTCGGGGGCAGCTGCCATGCCAAATCTCAGCCCCGGGTCTCAGAGCCTGGGACCGTAGGCTCGTGGGAAGCCTGTATAATAGGTTCTGCCCACTGCCTGCGAGGAGGTCCGAGACCCTTCTTGTCCTGTGCTGCCCGGTCAGCTCAGCAGGCCGTGGCCAGTGGCGCAGCAAGGCTGGCCAATGTCACAGGGCGACCGCCAAGGCCTCACACGCATACCCAGACACACAGCCACACGCAAAGTCACACGTGCTCTACAATTACTCTGTGGATTTGGCAGCCTTCTCCCGGACAACTGTTGGCTAACGTTGCTTTCTTCCAGACACAGGCACACACGGCACACCCCCGCACACCGTGCACACAAACACACGAACGAGCGCACGCGCGCGCGCACGTACGCCCGCAGGCACACGCAAACGTGCTGGTGGGCAGAAAGGAGGTGACCGAGCAGGTTGTCGCAGACGAGGAGGACCTGGGGCTGCCCCCTGAGACTGCGATGCCTGGGTTCATTGCCAGCCCATCCTGTCCACTCGCTGTGTGACCTTCAGCAAGATTCTCAACCTCTCTGGCCAAATGTAAAACACTGGCGGTAATCACTTTTATGCTTCCAGCCAGGGTCCGGGATTGGGATCGAGGACCCATCCTAGAGAGGTCGTCAGAAATAATGAAAAACGTCTGCCACTCCAGCTCACTCGTCGCCTCCCTCCCTCCCTTCCGTCAAAATTAAACATCTACTGTATGCCTAGCAAGACATTAGGTATGAAAAGGAGCCGCAAAAACATGCCGACTATTCTCCCTGCCTCCCGGGAGCCCAGAGTCTCACTGGAAACAGGTCGTACACAAAACAGCTGAGTAACCACAAGAGGCCTTAGATACTTAGATGCCAAAATAAATTATCCCGACGGTAAATCCAAGAGTCCAGGGGAGAGACGGTGAGGGAGGAACTAAGGCTGGGAAAGCCTTAGTCAGGAAGCAGCATTTGCAATGAGCTCTGAAGGGTAAGGTCTCTCCAGGGAAAGGGGCGCGGAAGGCGTCACAGGGCGAAGCACGAGGAATGAACCATGTTTGGGGAGAAAGAGAGCGGCAGGGCTGAGCTGAGGGCTGGAGATGCAGGGTGAGGTATGATTGGCTCAGCGGAGCTCAATGCCTACCTAATGGGGTGTCTTGATCGCCCCAAAGCCTTCGTTTCAAAACAGCTCAAGAAGTTTCAGTTAAAATAAACAACCAGATGAAGCCCTCAGTCCATCAGACACCTCCCCCTGTTTACCCAGCTGCCTCCTCTGGCTGGCTGCCCAGGTAGGTCACCCAAGCACGGAAGCAGGCCTGGGCACCCACCAAATGTATCCTGACGGCCTGACTTTGTGTGGCCAGCCTGGGTAGGGGGTGGGGAGACCTGGAAGGAAGGGCCTTCTGGCTGGCAGGTGAGGGGTGTTTGGGGCTCAACAGCTACTCAGGAGGAGAGAAGCTCTCGGCCTGTGCACGGATTCTTTCCGAAGGCAGGCCTGGGGGGCAGGGCCAGGGTCAGCAGGCAGGGCCGAGAGCCAGCCGTCCAGAGAGTGGGTGGCTGGTACAGGGCCGGTGTGGCAAGGAGCCCATTGGTCCAGTAGATCCCGAGCAAGTCCTTGCTCCCCAGACGGAAAATGGGGGCAGGAAAGGACACTGCCACCTGATCTAGTGAATGGGGTCACAGACAGACAAGATCTTGGGCCCCTCTAGCATTAGCATAGTGCAGGTGGCGGAGAAGGGGTCATCGTCAGGACAGGTAAACCTCGGGGCTCAGATCCCTCCTGACTAAGTGGATCCCCTCTTGGCATCCCAAGTCCAGTCTGCCAGGGACCAGGCTCAGTGAGCCTGCCTCCCTGTCACTCTGCCACCTGCCCAGCTGTCCAGCTGGATTGCATAAGGTGATGGGCACAGGTGCAATGCCTTGAGGGTCCCCAGGCTCACCCTGCATCTCACCTCATGCTATCCACATAACTGCCCTGGTACCCTCACTTCAGATAAGAGCCGAAAGGTCAAGAGATGGTGAATGATGGGTTCAAAGTCACGGGGCAGGGAGAACCAGGGAGTGGGACCCAATCCCATTTCATTCGGACTCTGATAACACGACGCAGCAGTCAGGGGCCAAACCCACCCCAGATGACAGCCAGGCGCCCGTGAATCCAGACACACTGAATTCATAACACGCCTTCCAAAGTCTACAAAACCATATTTCGCATGAACTTAATGTATGAATAAAGAACACGCTGATTCGAAGGCACAGCTGAGGTACAGCTTACAATGGGTGAATTTTATGGCATATACACGATACCTCAAAAAACGCTGCCAAAAATAAAAATTAATAAACCTTTTTTTAAAAAAAAGTGGCTGAAAGCACAGTAGCTTTCAGCCTCTTGCGTCGACTCCATTAGTGAATCTTAAAAGTACGACCAGCACGGGGCATGTGGAGGGGGGTATTTCCAGAATTCCCTGATGTCATTCAAGGTGGGGCGCAACGTCTGTACCCGACGGCTCATGGCTCGTGGACACCTGCACACCGGCCGAGAGCCTCACTGGAAAGGTGGTACAGGGCTCCCCTGAGGTCCTGGTTGAGGGGGGCAGGCAGCAAAGGCTGGACCCCCCCCCCCCCCCCCCCCACGCCTCCAGGCAGCTGAGACAGGAACAGCAGGTGAAAAGGAAAAGCGGGCACTGTCCCTCAGCCTGCCCTCTCTCTCCTGGGCAGTCTCACGGCACACACCTCCGGGCAATGCCTATTTGCTCCCAAGGCCCCGGAATCCCCCCGTGATCCATGGGAAAAGGCACTCCTCCCCAGACAGGTCAGCCCAAGTTACTAAATCGGAGGCTGGGAACGTTCTGCAAACATAGGCAGGACGCAGGACGAGGATACAGAGACACAATCTTAGCAACACGGTGGCCCCAGGGACCAGAGCCGTGATCACAGCCACTGCAGCTGCAAAGGGGTGGGGAGGGAGCCAACTTCTGCCAGTATCTCCCCGGGGCAGCGCACTGGCTACCCCGTCCCTCCCAGGGTTTCATTTCCTCCCTGCCTCCTTAGATAGCCGGGGAAACTGAGGCTCCAAGAGGTGTGGTGACTTGGTGGAGGTCACACCGCTGGCTCAGGAAGCCCCCCCCCCCACCAGGTGGGCACCAGCCCCCCTCCCGACTCTCTCCTGCTGCCAGGAAGTCCTTTCTCAGGTCTCAAT